TATGCTTTACATTTATTGTAACAAATAATTGAAGTATTAAATAAAATTATAAATTAATTACTAAAAATATTTCAAACATTTTTAATCAATATATCATATGTTATTTAATGAGAATTTTCAATTAGTATTAACAAATTGTGTTATAAATATCAAAACAATTTTAAATGATTTTATTTGTTTAATTTATGCACATTTTTCTTATATCTACTGAGAGTACAATTTGTGATAAACTGTTTATCAAACATTTCAATCATTGAAATGAAAAATTAATGGCTATTTAAGCTAATGTATGCTTTTATGTCGGTTTAGATATTATTTAGTTTGGAAACTTTTGCCACAATTGTGTTCATTACACGTGAATGACCTGCCATTTGAATGTACAGTTTGTTTATGAGATTTAAGATTTGATTTTGTAGTAAAGCTTTTATTGCAATCTTTTGAAATAACATCGAAATGGCTTTTCGCCAGAATGTATGCGTTTGTGTGCAATTAGGTATGAGTTTTGTTGAAAACATTTGCCACAATTGTCATTACATTTGAATGGTTTTTGTTTCAAATGAATATATTTTATATGCATTTTTGCTCCGTTTTTAGTCACAAAACCTTTTTGGCAATTATTATACGTACATTTATGGGGTTTATTATTCAAATGTCTATTCATTTATACAATATGTTGAGTAAAATACGATTTACGATTAAATCCTTTATTACAATCATTGAAATGACAAATAAATGACTTTTCGCCTCAATGTATGACTTTGTGTCGATTGAGTCTCACTTTTGTTGGCAATATTTTGCCACAATTTTCTTCATTACATGTAAACGTCTTATCCTTCAAATGAACATATTTTTTGTGATCATTTAAATACTGTTTTGCTGTAAACTGTTTGTGACATTCACTCCAATCGCACATAAATCTGAAGTTTAAATGGATACTATTCAAATGATTTATATGTCTAAACTTTATTACAATTATTGAAATTGCACTTAAATTGTTGATCATCATTTTTAGTGAGTGTATTAATGGTGATGTGATTGGAAAGCATTTTATCACTTATTTTACATGAATTCAAA